CAACATTGTAGCTATCTATCAGTGAAAGAATTTTGGCGATTCGACTAGCGGTTCCAAAGATTACCCCCTACATACAAACTTACAAACTTTTACCTCTTTATAATATTACTATATGTAGATATAGCGTCAAACGTGTAGACGGGGCTTAGGGATTGGGGATAGGGAGAAATGGGGTATTTGATAACCTCACTTGCACGAAATATAACACAATAATTGTTTCACGTCGGTTATATGAGCAAATTATGCATCCGTGGTTTAAACACCGATCCAACCGACCTAGTTGAAACATGGATTCTCCATAAACTTGCATCCATAATATTGTATCCATTTAGGATTGCATTTCGTGATAAACTAAGCGGGTCTTCTTAGTTTAACCCTTCGCTTTGGGCTTGGCCACTCTCCAGTTTCGTGGTAAGTTATGATGTAGCTATCTTTCTCAAGCAGACTTTACCACACCATAGTTGCTTAATTTATATATACTACTAGGTAAATTACTTTAGAGGTATAGTCAATACGTGTTGACGATAACGTATTTGATCTATGAATATTTTTTTCACCATATCAACTCAATGCATTTATTACACCGCAATTGGGGCAACACTGGCATGTTTCCCTATGTCGCGCGCACGTTTGCGACCTCACGCATAATGTTATACTCTGTGGACCATAGTTGTGGTTTTTTTCTTTTGTTATTAATTTTTCTTAAGTCATTTCATTTTTATCTGTATCATTTAGTTTAGAGTTTAAGTATTATTTTATTTTCTTCTTTTTTTAAATTCTTGTTTTATTTTATTTGTGTGCGCTTGCGCGAAAATATATGTTTTTCTTTCTTTCATTTACAAACATATATTATGTAGGTTTCATAGATAACCATCTACAATAAATATCATTAACAATTATTTGACTCTCCACATTTCTGGGAATTGACCGCTCCCATAACAATATTTCATGAATCTCATATAAAAATGGCAGAGTTGTGGGTGGTAGTTTTACTTCGCCTACGTTTTCTTAGGAAAGTGTGCGTGTTATGTTTCAGTGTGTTTTTCCAATAAGGCTACTTTAAAAGCAGCATATTTGTGTTTGTCTAGGTTTTGTTATCAATATCATTATCATATTTCTATATATGTCTTTCAGTTTAATTGAAAACATTGGATACGTAATTTTTTTTCTTACGGAATGAGATACTTCTAGTAATATCGTGTGACATTACGATTAAGTGAATACCACTAACCAGTGATGTCGTCAAAATTTTTCTTTCTTTCTTAAGTACAAGACCTGGAAGTGTAAGAAATGCAAATTCCTTTTGATTTATTGTTATTATCTTGCTATAACAAGTCTAATAACTGGTTACAAGTCAAATCATCTCATATGGGACTCATTACTGGTAAAAAATGGGTGTTACAATCTTTAAGTATCTGCTCCTGTTCCTACCCTTACAAGTTACAAAGACAAGCAGAAGCAAGGATAGCTCACCGTCCGTCCGTCAGAATCATACCCTAAGCTAAAAACCCTGGTTAAAAAAAGGTTATAAGTACCGACCTTATGTCATTGACGTGTTCATACTGTCCCCGAGGTAGTCACTAAAAGTTAGGTAGTAAAAATATGTGTTATGTCATGTAAATAATTAACTATAACATCAAAATAGGCTTGTCCGTTACCTACGAAAACTGTAATATAATTTGAAAGTGGCGTGCCATGTATGCGTATGTGTCCTTTGGGAAATAAGAGCATTTTAGTGTGACGACTTGATTCCATGAAAAAACAATTAAGTACTGGACAATGTGGATGTTTTTATAACTAAAAATCACAATTAGTTTATTATATAATTACATGAAATGTTATTAAGGTTTCATTGTTCTAATACTTTTAAATGGCTAGGTATTCAAATTAAGAAATTGCAAAAAAAGAATAATTCGATTGATCACACAAGTATTAATTTTTTAATGCGACGTTCGCTTGGCTGCGCTTCATATCAGCAATAAAACTCACTTTAAACTTGGTTTACCTTCCCTATACATTTTTAAAGTGCATTTTCTGCACGGTTGAATTTTCAGAACGGTGTTAATATATAGCATATTCAGCCAGAAAGGCTTTACTTGAGTGGTGCATTGATGGAAGCAAATAATGGAGTACATAAACAACTCTACTTGGACTAATAGGAAACTTATAATATCACCAAATCCATGTCCATGGGCTTCGTCAATTTCCCCATCAACCTTATCATCATCAGCCTATAAGTGCCCACTGCTGAGCAAAAAGAGGTCTTTGCTCACCCGAAGAAGGTTTAAGAACTGATCACCATACTTGCTTAAGGTGGATTGAAGGGCGACGTCAATAGCTTTATCAACCTTATCATCATCAGCCACCTTCACCGCTGAGCAAAGGCCTCTTCTCCCCCGAAGAACGTTCGAGTAATTGATCACCATGCTTAATTAAGGTGGATTGGCGATTTTAAACTTATTATAAATTATAAGTCCAGGCTTCCTTGCGATATTTTTCTTCATCGTATGTCAGTGGTGTTTTAATAATCACAGAAAGGACATATGACTTTTCCAAGTTATACACTTAAAAAAGTCATATTGGTACTTGCACCTTCATGCATGGGAAGCGGGCGTCTTAAACTCTGAATCACCACTTGACTTGTTGCCTATGTCAACTAATAGAAACGATTGACAATTTTATTGCCAGTATTGTGGATGTGGATTAAGATTCATAACGTCGTGGTGGCCACAAGGACGGTATGTCGTCCAATGCAATAAAAAAATCAACCGAAGCGGTACTGATAAAAGTTTAGAATTATTACAAGAATATAAATCTAACATTACGGTGTTATTTTAAGAGAGGGTGAGTTGAGAAACTGACCTAGTTCCAACTTATATTACGTTACTCATATTACGTGACGTATTCTTGTATATTTATAGTCGCCATATTAATTTCCTTTCGTAGAGTTATGTTTAGTATGGAATAACATTTGTGCAATGTGTCAGTATCATTGAGTATACCTAACAAAGAATCGAGGGTTTTCTGTCCCAGATCGAATCCTTTCGTTTTTATATGTGATGGGTGGGCAAAGACTGGACGGATTACTTGACGGTAAGCAATCAGCGCCGCCCATGGACACCCGTTGGGGATTATGGATTTGGAGATTGAGGAGGGATTGCGGGTGGATCAGGATGCGGCCTCCAGTAACCTCACTCACATGGCGAAACACAACGCTGTGGTTGTTTTACGTCGGTTTTCTGTGAGGCCATGGTATCACTCCGGTTGAGTCGACCCTTTCTTGCTGAAGCTTGGCTCTCCCACACTTTTTATAGAGAATTTTTAGTGGAAAGTAAATGTCAACCTGAAACTATAAACGGTTGCCTACCTTCAGGGATTTAAACGCGTCACTATAATTATTTTATTTTTAATTTGTTAACAGAACTGTACTTGGTAAAATATGTATCAAATATGTATACACCCAAGAATACTTGATAGATTTACCAACAAAATAGTCATACTATCTGTGATATAGTCTTAGAAATAACAAATGAAAATAATTCATAAAATAAATATAAATAAATATTACATTTCTTTGACTAACTCGAGCTTCAAAGAATTAGTTCTGGTAAGTGATGTAGAAACGTTAACGATTTCTCACAATTTTTATTAAATAAGTCGACGCCGTTTGGTAAATCCTTTCAATATTATTAAGAACGGAGAAAAGAAAGCAAAATAAGTCGAATCACATTGACATAAGCAATGTTATACCTACATATAATTTGAAATACTTTTTTTCTCAATTTCTTGAGTAAGTGGTTGAGGTCGTCATGTCAGGAGTTGTATGATATCTGCCATACATCACAACTCTTTGTGCACTGCAGCGTCTTCCTGCATTTTTTATAGGGCCACCAATGAGCTAACATGACACCAGAGAAGTTAGGCTTTGGGGCTCACAAGAAATCTGAAGATTGATGGTTTTTGGATTAGGTACTCGTAATTGGTCAGAGACCGGTCGAAAAATTAATTCTTAAAGGCACGTAGTTCACTTTTAATTTGATTCTGACGTCAGCGAATTACACACAACTGCATACATTTCTATTGGACAAGAGTAAAAAATCTGAAATTTTAATTCAATTAGGCAACAAACACTTTTTAAAGTCAAACAAAGTTTAAAGATAAAGCTAAAAGTGTCACTCTCGTTCTAAAGTATATATTCCGATACAGAAACTCCGGCTATCGATAGAAAAGCTTTCAAGGAAAAAAAGTGGTATTTTATATTTGAGAATGTTTTAGGTTTCTGAAGTACCAAAATATCAGCAAAGTATTATCCTGGTACTGATCAATATTGTTAGATAATGTGAAGTTTACTGGAAATGCCATTTCTTATAATATTTTGTTTAATATTAAGGAACAAAGAAAGGCGAAAATCCTATCTGGAATTCTGATTACTTAATATCACAGAAATTGTTAGCGTTTTAATAAAACCGTGATACTACTTCAAAGCGTTTTGGTTTATTCAGTATTTTCATATTAAAAGGAGTATTAATTTTGGAAAAGAGCTGGTTTGACCTTTTAATATACATATTTTGTGCAACAATTATCCACTAAAACTTAATTCAAAATTTATAGTATGTCAGTGGTGTCTAAATAATCATAGAAAGTACATGTTACTCGGAAAAAGTCACATTGGTACCTGCCAGATTTCGAACCCACACCCTCATGCATGGGAAGCGGGTTCCTTAACCTCCGGGCCACCACGACAATACTTTTTAAATAAGGTTACGTTCTGGTTTTAGAGTTTGTTGTGTTTAGTCGTAGGATTATTCGATACATTTTCTTGCAAATCATTAAATTAAAGCAGGCTTGTTAGCAACCTGTTCTAAAAAAAACAAAAGATCTTTTATTCGATTCAATATCTGGCAAAGCATTACTTGGTTCTGCAACCACTGATAGCAACGAGGAAATTTTGACAATTCTATATTATAGTATTTATATTTGTATTGTTTATTTGTCCACAGTATACGTGTTTCTGGGCGAGCACATAGCGTTGGTGGACTTCGTGAAGGTGATGCAACGTCGAGGTCTCCTCACTGCCGGAGAGTATGCTATCGTGGCGGTAGATGATGAGATCTATGACCCAAGTACTGCGGCTATCACGCATGCTGGTGAGTTTAAAGATATGTTGAACTTCTTGAAGGTTATTGTAGTAAAGTTAAGGTAGACATGCTGCATTTTATATGTACCTATAGTATGAATGGAGTAAAGTACCACTGGAAGAAAACTGCAAAACCAAACAATGCAGGCTTGGTGTTGACTACAAACTGGTTCTGTTGTTAATTACTTCAACAGTCAGTTTCTATTTCTTTTCATTTGCTATATTGTTTTATATTGTATAACATAGTAATTGTATAATGAAATCTCAGTATAAGAGAAATGATAAAAAGAACTTTCTAATTAAATATTTACAGTACAACTATAAGCACATATGTATGAGTTCATAGTTTTATTTTCCATTAAAATTAGTTTTTTACTGCTATCTAGTTTGTAGACTGTACTTATAATATTTTTCTTTTATTTTAATATTATTTTTTTGTTCCCAGAGCATCTTGGACAGAACACGAGCAGCGACGTCTTGGCGTTTCGCGCTGTACTGAGACTCACTCCTTCATTTCCGACTAACCCGCATTACGGGTATGTAAACATGGGATAATTTATTAAAATGTGTGATAATTCTGTTATATTAGTACCACGTGAGCGTGACAGAGCGAGAGTCATGCTTCAGCACGAATGAGTCAGTCTGACAGGAATGATACCACGTCCTCATCGAAAACCAGCAACAAGCACAGTGTTTTGCCGTGCCAGTGAGGTTACCAGAGGCTCAATCCTCCTCATTCCCCCATCCCTCCGCATTCCTAACTCTCCGAAATCCTTGTAGCCTTGTAACTGGCAGTGGGTGGCGTCGATTAGTAACCATTAAATAATCTATATCCTCGTCTACCCCCCATAAAAATTAGAAAGATATTGTACAAGGAATACAGTACACCTAATTATTGCTGATGATGTCTTCTTGGTTTGTACGTGACCTAATTTCTACAGAATATGCATAAAGTTATATATGCATGTATCAAGCAGTTTTGACTTCCGACAAAACTTCAAAACTTTCAATATTTATGACTAAAGTTTTGGTCTCTTGTATATCTAATATAATTTACTAAATAAGCAAAGTTGTTACATTTCATAGGTACACAAAAATAATATTACCTATTGTTTGAATTCAAAGAAAAAAATAATAGATTTAGTTGAAACTATGTTCATATGGTTTCGCCTACATACGTATTGTGGTTATCTCTCATATTATGTATTTAGCAAATTCTAAATATAATGTTGTTTTGCTTTGATTCAAAATCATTTGGGAATCTGTTTTTGCAATAGACCAGTATGTAGACTAAATAGTAAGTGGCTTTTGGCTTTTAAACATTATAATATATGTGTGGTGTTTATAGCTGTTTAGAAATTATATTCAGTTACATTTTTTCCTGTATGAAAAGGGATGTTCTATATATGTAATATAAACCGGCGTGAAACAACCACAGCGTTGTATTTCGCCGTATGTGTGAGGTTACTAGAGACCCAATTCCTAAATCTCCAATACCCTATTTCCCTAAAGGTTAGTAACGCATTTGTAGCTCCATCACTCAGACTGGTGTCCATGAGCGGCGGTGATTACTTACCATCAGCCCATTTGCTCGATGACGTCCTTTAACATAAAAAAATAGCGTGCGTAAACTCACCTTATTGTGTGACTTACTTAATTCAGAGATACAACGTTTTGGACTCTTCCACGGCATTATAGGAGTAAAATCTCGTCTGTAGGCCTATTTATGTATTTTTGAATTAGAATTACAAAGTCACACAATTATATGATGATGATTTTTTACCATTTTGACTGCACGGTTGGCGCGGTGGCTGGGCAACTGGCTGCCGCGCAACGTGTCGCGGGTTCCTTTCCGCACGGAACAACTCTTTGTGTGATCCACAGATTGTTGATCCGGGTCTGAGTGTGATGTGCATTTGTATGTTTGTAAACGCACCCACGACACAGCAGAAAATTCTAGTGTGGGGCAACGATTTAGAAAAAAAAGAAAGAAACTTACATTATTAGATTACATAACTACATGTTACACTGAACCTTAGCAATGAGTTAAGTGCAGTTCGAATTAAATTTAAGTACAGAACTACGTCACTGATGATTCCCGAAAGAGCACATACATATGTATGTGTAAGAAAGTAGGTTCGATGTACCCATAGCCTATTTCCGTACCATATCCATCAGATTGCGTGACATATTGTCTGTTTGATACAGAGTTGATGTATTGTTTCCTCAACAAGGAAAATGATATCAAACAGGTATTGTTTTGATACTTTTCTGTGTATACTGCCCAAGGATACTGTCGACATTAGTTAGGCTTTACACTAATATTTTGGGTTGATGTACTTATTGGTTTGCAAGGATGAACTCAATGTGGTAGACTTTCTACCATATAATTTCTACAACTATGTTTATTTCATATGATATATATAAAAATTAATGTTAATAGCTTGCAATACTTAGTTAAATGTATATCTATAAAAACTTTTTTCCAAACAAAGTTTTTACTCCTATGCACTGCTAAGAAAATGCAGGATACAGTTTCAAGGCCATATCAGACAAAATAAAATTTAAAAATGAAAGATTTTTTTAAAAAAACCTAAAAGGTACTTTCAAGTATCGTGAAACATATTAAATTTATTAAAAATAACGACTGCTTACGTGAATTAACTGAGAAACTCTCTAGTAGTTTGAAGTCATAATAAATTAAAATTACTGAATGAATTTTATTTTAGAGATCATTTTGAACGTAAAATATTATGAAAATTTAATATGATCATCAAAATCTATACTTTCAGTTGAATGTAGGAGTAGCTATTGTTTCATATTTATTGAGAATAAAAATCCTGTATAGATTTATAGAGAAACTCTTTTATTCTAGAAATATTTATCCTTTGAGTAGCTCTTTACAGAAATCATAGTAGTACAGTATCATATCGGTATACGTTTCAATAAAATCAGTGAGTTTCGAATTCAAGCGAATCGAGATATTTATAACTGGTACCGATGTTAAATGGAAATATCTTATCAAACGACTGACTTGTGTTATTTCTTGGTTTTGTATAGATAAATAATTCTAATAGGTACATCACACAATTCGGATTTTTGTGGAAGTCGTATTAAAGGTTTTGTTCTACTTGGCATGCTCAGTTTTCAAGGACTGAGGTATTTTAATCAGATTAAACGTCATCGTATGACGGGAAATAGAAAGAGAAAAAATATTGAAATGAGAGAAATAGGTTACTATTTCAATTCAAACTTCCAGTCACGATCCAAAGTTAGTTAGAGTCGCTACGGCGTAGCACGTAGTAGCTGCTACGACCTACGCCGTAGTAAAAGCGTAGCAGGTTCCAATTCAATGGATGCTACAAGTGTTTGTTTCCTATATTTGATTTCAAAGGTTTTATGAGTAATACGAATCAGTGTAAACCCAATACTTTATTTGTTTATCTTATGATGCCTATTTCTTTCTTAAAGGTTAAGTGGAGTTTTAATATTAATGTGACATCCACAATTTCTTCATTTTTATGTATTAGTACATACATAGTCACCATTTCTTACCCTGAAACTTATACATTCAGTAATGTACTTCATCCTGACCAGAAAATCGACATTCTATTGACCTGCTAATATCACACCCGTGAGAACATTGATGGTTGGATGCTTAAGAGTAACTCTTTCGAGTCAAAAATTCTGAATCGATTTTGATGGCATAGAAATAGTCTAGGGTAACACACACAGTACTTTTCAACCGTGGGACATGGCTGAAGGGGCATGAATTTAGTATAATATAATTATCAATAAGTCTACCAATTTTCATCTGTTTGCATTCATAAATTGACACGCTCTATTCCAAACCTATTGTGATGCTAAGAATTATGGGAAAGCAATAATTTTATTTGTATGAATGAATGGAGCTCAGTTTGATGAACTGTATGACCTAGTTTCTGTTCCGATCGCAGGTCCGTGGCCAGACAAGGATTAAGTCCGAGTTCCAGACTCTATTTTCATTAAATCTTTGGTTTATTAGTTTGCATAGGAAACGTATTGTTGTTTATTCGAGTTTTGTTGCTAAGACCAGATATTGAATTAGGCTTGTAGGGTTTAAACCAAACGCTTGTACGATCAAATGACTAAACTTTAGATTATTATTAGGTTAAGTGACTGTAATAGGCGACTTAAGTGTAGAAAAGCAACCGTCAAAGTTAATTTTAATGTGTGTCAGTCTCTATTTTCTCGTACCAAAGTGTAGATTCTTTTTCAATGAATTTCACAATATTTTTTTTGTAACATCATTTAGTCGGATCCAATATGCTATGATGTATACTATATAATTTTACAAAATATAATGAGTCATGATGTCTTTACCTACATTACATTATAATTAGCACGTCAAGTCTGACCACACAAAATAACCGACTCATCGTTTGTCAAACGCACTGTATTTAACTACCTATTTAGAAAGATCGTCCACCCGTGTTACTGTTTAGCCTGCAAACAATACTAATATGTTTACCAAATTTATGACCACGTATTTCAGGCATATCTTTTGACAGTTAAATGTGTAACGAAGCTTAGATTATAATTGTAACTGGATTAAATTGTGTGATTTCGTGAAAACAATGCGTGGGCTGTTAAGTTTGATTCTTAGTAATCAAAAGTTTATATGATTTTTTTTATTAAAAAACTTAGGTTATCGTTGACGTTGGGAACAATCGAAGGCTTCAAAATATACGAAACTTATAAAATTCTTGTTGTACGTTGCCTGTACCTTCTCTTCCACACAAAGGCCTCTGTCTGATGTTCTATGTCGACTTGTTTTTTTTTGGAAAATAACAGAATAGGAACAAGTTTAACGTAACAATATAAAGTTAATATTATCGTGACCTATATTAGGATAATCTATCAAATCAAATCAAATCAAAATCATTTTTATTCCAAATAAACCATAAATAGGTACTTTTGAAACGTCAAAATAGAATAGTAGTCTGTCAGTCTGTTCGTCAGTGAAGCTAGGTGCTCGTTCCAAATTGTAGTTTCGAATGGAGAAGAACGAGCAAGAAACTCCATCGTTACTCTTTTAAAAAAAAAAATTTGTTTTACAATTCATCAATAATACATTTTTTATACATTAAATGTATGTTTTTAAAAGAGATTTTGTCATGTTGTAAGGCTTATTTACTGTTGCGTCCTAAATTCTATTACGGAAATAATTTACAAGGAATATAGTAAATGGAGAGAACTTTACCTATGTAATGAATCCTATTGCTTGTCTGCTTTGTCTGTTCATCTAAATGACTTTCTTATGAGTCCTATAATCGGGCTCTTTAAAAGTAGAACTTTACATCACTATAAAAAACCAACAAGAAATAATCTTCATTGGCATAAATATTCTTAGTCAACCCACATCTCTTATTCATAAATCCTCTTATCACTGAATCCCTAACCCGAAAAGGCTGATAATGGTCTCCCAACTCTTCAATGTTGCGGACCACCATGTACCATGGGCAGCGCCGATTTGTTTACCGTTATCCATTTGCTTGTTTACAGAACGACATAAAATATAAAAAGGGCTTAGTAATAGGTCCTGATGCCCCTTGCTTGTCACTTCCGTTGCAACCGCAGACAAGTAGACACTAAACCACATTGCGGGTGTAATCTCAATAATGTACTTGGCGGCCCGGAGCAGGAGAAAACAAAAGCTTTACAATCTGAAGTATTATTATAAGACTAGATTTTCCCGCGAGATTTAATAGCTGCTTGACTCGTAAAGAGTCGGGTCTGTCACGATAAAGGGCATATCCAAATCAAAAAGTATTCTTTAATATAAGCCAGCAATTTCTGAGATCTGCGTTCAAACAAACAAGCTCTTTAGCTTTATAATACAACTATGGTAAAAGTGAAGTATAGTAAAACATTATAATTTCATCCGACCTAGAAACTAATACCTTGTTTATTACTAATTGTTTGTACTATACTAAAAATAACTTGTGTCTATTTTCCGCCAGGATGCTGTGTCAGATGATAAAGAAGATGTCAGCAGCGCCTCCGTTCTGTGTGCCCAACTACTACCACAAGCTCTTCGATGATGCTTCGGTAAGTCCACTGAACATTTTCTAATTTTTCATGCCTTTACCCAACCAGGTCAGCCCAGAGCCTCTACAAGATTTGGGTAAACATGGGATTCGGAAATCCTGCCATGATTATCATGATAAAGAAGCCAACAAGATACTGATGATTATTGTGGTACTCCACGAATGAATCTAATCGTTTGCTATTTCTTTAGAGTCTGATCGTTTATGCCTTTACTACATAGCATGAAACCAAGTCGCTTTTTGTACCTTTAAGTCGTCAAAACTTAACCGATGCTGTTTTTTAATACATAGAGTTATTGATAAAAAAAGTTTAGACGTGTAATAACATCAATTGAATAGTGGAGAAATTTAGTATGAGTACTGCACCCGTGTGCAGCCAGGGTGGATCGCTAGTATACTATACATATATATTTTATATATACTATATACTATACTATGAAAAGAACTAACTAAGAAAGAAAGGTTGTTGAACTCTATATTTAGTCATGACATCAATATACATACGCATGTACTCAAATAACAACGCCATTTACGCAAAAAGTACAAGAGCGGAACGTTGTATGTATATAATTTATAATGACTCTCAGGTATATATTAGGCATATTAGACTCTGCGCTTTTACTGAGAAAATAAAAAAAGACTGTATAATAATATACAAGACCGGTTTGTTGTTCGCTGTTTGTTCTTGTTGTTAGTTTTGTTCATACCATAATATTATCACACCTGTTTTTCTGTCCGGAATTGGTTCCGTACACACTGAAACTTTCATGTTAGTTGGCCTGATAGGCACTGTTTCTATTAACAACCTTTACTTGTTTCGTTTCTTAAATCATGAATAAATTGAAGACACAAACAAAAACTCAAGTTCATGGCCCTATCAAAGAAAATCAGTTCAGGTTATGGAAAACATAGTGTCGAAAATCGGTTTTCTATAGCCTTCCTCGATAAATGGACTTAATAAACACAAAAGGAATTGTGCGAACCGAAGCAGTAGTTCGTTCAAACAAATAAACAAACTCTACAGCTTTAGAATATTAGTACTGAAGAAAAGAGAAAGATTTACTCGTACAAAATACAGACCTATATTTTTTAACAAATTCTGTCTATCTTTGTAGTTTCTTAGCAATAGAGTATGAACAACCAATTTACAATAAACACTTAACTTGACCCAAACTTTTGTTACAAATACGTAGATCTTCTTTTATCTTCCCCTCGCACAACCAAAATAATGGCACAAACAAAATTAAGGTTAAGGCGAGCGAGACGACTAAAATTCTCATATGCACTATTCTAAAATATCACCGTACCATTTTACCCGTTGAATAGGTCTATGATAACACTGCCAGCAGCTGTGGCCTGGTCATTTAGTACCACAATGTCGTCGTAATTTCAGTATATCGAGTGTATTACGCACATTACAGCCTTCAAGCATACGACCTACTTCCTAGGATATTGACCTGAAACTAACAAGCGTGTGTTGATACTTTATCTTCAAGTTACAAGTGCGTATCAGATTTCTTTATTGGAAATAGAAATAATTTCTTTGCATTGGCTATTTAAAGAATGGTATTATTTTAAGATTTCATCTATAATAGTACTATAATATTTGAAGAAAGTTAAATTTATTGTTTGTTTGTCTGGATTGCATAGCCTTCGAAACTGCTTGACCGATTTAAAACACTTTTTCTCTACTAGGAAACTACACTCCCCGGTGGTATATCAGCTAAAAACTACGCGGCTGAAACCGCAGAATACAGCCTGTATTTCATGTTAGCAGTGACCGTTGGTAGGCTTTGAGTCTCGTCTATACAAAAAGAGGGGTGTGCCATAATATTGACGCCGGCCAGGCGAGTTCAATCACAGCTTAAAGTGATCAGGTTTGTCAGAGAGCTGCAGCTGTCTTTGTAAATAAATAATCCCCCTTGTCAGCTCTAATGAAACCCGGGAAGGAGTAGAAGTGGTGATAAAATATGTATTTTATACATTACAAAGGTGCCAATTGCAGCACTTACTCGATACTTAATAATTGATACTCCTTAAAAGTTTAATTACTTAATTCTAAGCTAACCCATTCGTGCCGAAGCATGGCTGTCCCACACTTAAATTTTCAATGGTTGTTTGTAAGCAGCGCACAGACGCTTTAAAACACATATGTATATATTTGTTCAGACTGTTGTTGTTAAGTCAAGAGCTTTCTAGTTTATTTGTAGTTTATTAATTTTGTAGATATAAAGTGAAGAAGTAAAATTATGTTAGATAAAATTTTTAAGAAAATTACGAAGTTGTCCGTCATATTTTATTACTGTCTTAACACTTTTGCCTTATTCAGTCAAAACCTTGATTCCCATCATGGCAAAAGATAGTATTTTGCAGGAGAAGGCATTTTGAAAAAAAAACCTTATTCATGTGTGTTACATTGTTTGCGTCTCCTTTTTATATTTACGAAAATAATTGCTGTTCGTTAGTCGCGTTTGAACTCTGAAACGTCTGTACCAACCAAATTAATTTCAACCTTGAAACATTCGACATCCAAGGAAAATTCAAACGGTGTGAAAAAAAAAGAAATCAATAATATTCCGAGTAAAATACTCGACACGACAATTCCTTTCACATACAAACTGCTCTGTAAGAGACAATAGATATTTGCAAGAAACAAAACTGTCATTATTAAAATTAATTTTGAGACGGATTTCGCCGCTTCGTAATTCACACACTCTATTGACCAAAAATTTAATAACTAGCTTTTTCCCGCGGTTCCGTACGTGTGTGTAAGTGACTTCTGGCAGATTTTTGGTATAAACATTATACGTTGTCTTTTTCGAGTTCTTAACTATATTTGTACCAAATTTCACAGAAATCGGTTCAGTTGTTTAGGCGTGAACAAGAGACAGACAGAGTTAGTTTCGCATTTATAATATTAGTTCGGATAATAGAAGTTTCTTTCGAAAAGGAAGATAGCTAATCGTAACGAGTACATGTTGTTATGGCAACTAATCTTAGTCCCGGCTTGTACGTATGTAAGTTTACTGACGTATACTCAACGGGATCCGTTAATAAAGATCGAATTACAAATACGAGGAAGATTGCGAACTTTATACTGAGTTGAGTATAAAGCTTAGTTAGATAAGTGGGTTATCGGGCCGGTACAATCAGCGACTCAGATTAATTGCTATTAGCATGTTTCTCATGTATAATTACTAGCACGACGATTCTATAAAATTTGTTTGATTTTGAATCTTGTTCGAGTGCGAAGTGAGTGTCGAAGTGACGGGGTGATTAAATTTTAGAATGCCACTTTTAACGTCTTCTCATACTTTATCTATCAAAATGTTGCTGTCAATTTAGTTCAACTCGCAAGTGTAGCGCTAGTGTGTACTCACGGCGGATTCAGATTCGAAGTTTAGAATGAAATCTTACAGAATCACACCCTAGGTACGAAGTAATTTTCACATTCGGTACGGATCTGATGATGGCAAGCTATGGAAAACAAAGAGCTTAAAGTGCCAGGCCGGTTCTTTTGGAGTTAAGGGTATAGAAATTGGGGATGAGGGGAAAAGTTAACGTTTCAGTAATCTTACTCATATGGCGAAACATAAGAGCTAATCTGTACTATAAATATTGAAAAGAAGTAAAATTTGTAAGTTTGTATGTATGTAGGGGGTAATGTTTAGATCGCTGGTCGGATTTCTAAAATTCTTTCACTGATAGATAGCTACAATGTTTCTGAATGCTATAGGCTAAAACATCACGCTACGACTAAATGGAGTCGAGCAGCGGGTGAAACCGCACGAGAGTAGCTAGTAGGCCAATTGAGATGGAACCCAACAGGGTTGGTGTTCAGCCGAAGTTACGAGTCAAACACTATAATGTACCGAGGCTCCAGCCGGCAGGAGAAGAAACGGAATGGAGTCAGTTTTTACAGACACTGTGTCTCGTCTCATCCAGGGTAGGAGAAGTGACTTGCTAATTTTCTCCTTATAAGAAATGTTCGTTCACACTGGTTTTCTCGTACAATAGTTGCCGTTTTATTGAATTTGCAATTTTTTTCAAATCAATTCAAGGAGACCACAAAAGGCAATTTTGAACGTCAAGCAAAAAAGATATCATAAGGTTTAACTTTATATGTGTCAGTCTGTCCGTCTGTCCTCTAGTGAAGCTTCTTGACCTTTGCCTAACTAAGTTTGAATCGTTACTTACTTTTAATCACAATTTGCCCCGAAATTTGCTAAGATTGTATGCTGATTCTTAGTACCTTATCTAAATTCATCATCATCATCTCATTTTAAAAATTCATGACTTGAAACTTGACACGAGCAGAATTTGGTCTCAGCAGTGCTTTAATAAAATTCAATATTTTTTTAATTGCAATCTAGAATAGATATTTAATTTTTATGTTTAATTCCAAATTTTGCTTCTTATGGCCATTAGGTTTATTATATAGTTAGTAGAATGCGCTTGAATTCGCATATTTATAAAAATTACACAAAGACATATTATTATAATATTTAATAGAACTTGCAAGGTATTTTTACTTTTGTATACTTTGAAGAAATATCTTGCAACTTAATTTCGATTCGGATATCTTGAACTGATAGAGCTGATATAATTGGCTTCACTTTAAATTCTTAAACATGTTTCTTAAGTTCTTGCTCTCGAGACTTATTGACCCACCTGAGAAAAGTTTGTTTTTAAAAATCATTCAAATAAATTTTGGGGATATCTTTAATCTTTAAAAATATTTTATCTTTAAGTAAAATCATGAAAAAATAATTTAAATTTGTAAATCGTGTCAATTGAATTATGTCGGCGACTGTACTCGTCGAGTTTATTCTTGTGACGATGGGAAACTGGGCCATAGTAAACATTGAGCCTTTTTACTTCTTAATGTATTCCATTCCGGGTGCATGGGAGTGCCCTGTAGCAATCGCAATCAAATTATAGCTGTGTTTGATGGTCGCCATTTCTTGTGAAATTATTGAAATTTTACGTGCGTATGAATAT